AATTCATTAACTCAGTGGGGGTGAAAGATACTCCCTCATAACTGCTAAGTATTTCTAATTCTTGTCTAGATTATACGGAAGAATAAGGAACCTTTATTCTTCCGCAAATATATCCATAGGATTAGATCCATGGGCACTAAGTCAGGCGGCCTCGACGGCCAACAGCTGGGATCTGGGTTAGTTATTCAATTATTCTTGAAATTGGCTGCAAAAATTTGCTGATAATTTCAGCGTTCTGAGGCGGTGCGTTGTCTTGCTGGAAAAATATGTTTTTGAGTTCTATTAAGGACATATCATCAATAAGGGGTCCAAAGCCTACTAGCACAGAATATCTAGCTAAGCAACAGAAGCCTCGTTACATGTATAAAATTGTAGGTATCAAAAGGAGATAGGCTTTAAAAGCCTGTCTCCAAATCAGATATTTTGATGCGGTAGTTTCGCTACTACATAATAGAGGGCGATAAATTTAAAAGAAAATAGTTTTCTACAAACGAAATTTAAAAGAATTTTGGGCAGTGTTGCCATTGTGTAATTCATATTGTAATACTTTCTGATAAATCCTACCTTCAAATTTGCTACATCATTTAAACATATTAAAATAGATCAGTGCTCTTTTTTCAAACGTTTAGTCAGGTTTAAGTACGTATTTAACTTGCCATATTAGTTGGGGTTCAATAATCAGTTCCTGACGTTTGATTGTAATTGAATCCTGAATTTTGATTGTAATTCGGCGACAATATAATAAGTATTGTTCTACTATTATGATACCACTTCCTGACGTTCAATTGTGTTCATACTTTATACCGTATGATCGGGGAAAAACGGCTAAGAAATGAAGATCGCTGTCATTTTATATGGGAAATAGTATACTATAATATAGTACCATATTACGATACATGGCGTTCGATTGAGCTTAAACTTGGTATTCTACTTATCTTTAGTAACATTGTAATATTATGGTTCCATGGAGCATATAAAGTGGTACCTTCTATAGTACTACATTATGATACCACTTCCTGACGTTCAATTGTGTTCATACTTTATACCGTATGATCGGGGAAAAACGGCGTTAGCGATAGCTATGAAATGAAGATCGCTGTCATTTTATATGGGAAATAGTATACTATAATATAGTACCATATTACGATACATGGCGTTCGATTGAGCTTAAACTTGGTATTCTACTTATCTTTAGTAACATTGTAATATTATGGTTCCATGGAGCATATAAAGTGGTACCTTCTATAGTACTACATTATGATACCACTTCCTGATGTTCGATTGGGCTCGTATTTGATATATACTTGCATATTTTTGATGACATTGCAATATTATGGTACCATGAAGCATATCAAGTGGTACCATACTATAATATAGCACCATATTAGATACATGGCGGTTGATATAGGGCTTAAACTTGGTATACTACGTATCTCCGGTGACATTATAATTTTGTCGAACCATGGAGCATATAAAGTGGTACCTTCTATAGTACCATATTATGTTACCACTCCTTGATGTTCGATTGAGCTCATATATTTGATATATAATTTCGTATTTTTGATGACATATTGTAATATTATGATACCATGAACCATATCAAGTGGTACCATAATATAGTACCATATTACGTACATGGCGTTTGATTGGGCTTAAACTTGGTATACTACGTATCTTCGGTGACATTGTAATATTATGGTACCATGGAGCATATAAAGTGGTACCTTCTATAGTACTACATTATGATACCACTTCCTGACGTTCGATTGGGCTCGTATTTGATATATACTTGCGTATGTTTGATAACATTGCAATATTATGGTACCGTGAAGCATATCAAGAGGTACCATAATATAGTACCATATTACGATACCATTTCCTGGCGATCGGTTGGGCTTAAACTTGGTATACTACGGATCTTCGGTAAATTTGCAATATTATAGTACCTTGAAGCATATCGAGTGGAGTACAATATTATGATATCATTTCCTGGATTTCGATTGGGCCCTAATTTGGTATACTTACGTTTCTTTATAAAGATTTGTTGTGTGTTACTGCATTTTAATAAATTATTTCCATTATTATTAAACTTATATTTCATTACTAACTTTCCAGCATTAATAAATATCACTATCAATCGCCCTGTATATTTTAAAGGTAATTAAAGGTATTTTCTTAGTTAACAATGTAAGGTTGTGTATATTAAAAATGTATTTTTTGAGTATATGTTTTGTAATAATATACTTAAAACTATTTTAAAAGCCAAACGAACAATTAACATAAGTGTGTCTGACAAGAAAAGAAGAATAGAAAGAAACTATTATACACCAGAAAAAGAATGGGATGCCAATTAAAGGTCTTTTTGAATCTGGCAACTGTGCATATTTAGGCGAGCTTCAAGGCCGTCGACGTGCCGTCGATCTAAAACCGAAAGTTCAAAATTTCCAATTATATTCTGATTATGATATTGCCTCGCCATCTAGTATTTTATTTGTGCAATTTTAGCTCTTTCATTACGAGTATTTTTCTGTTGCGTAGCTAGATATTCTGTGCTACTAGTTAAAAGTGGCGAACTTTTAAATATTCTATATTTCGAAGGGGATTATAACAAAATATCAAGTGTGCTATATTTTTGGAAAGGTAATTTTAAATTCTTTTCAGTTAATTAAAAATATAGAGGGTGTCCCAAATAAAAATTCAAATTTTCTGTTGATAACTCTTAAATTATTAATTTTAAAAAAATTATACTTAAACCATTAAATTCTACGTAAAAAGGTGCTTTGGAAATGTTTTCATAGAAATACAAAATTTTCCATAGCAAAAAAGTTACAGCGATTTGTTCAAAATGCACATTTTTGAAAAACACCCCGTAACTCCGAAACGGTAACAGATATTGATGTGCGGTTTTCACCATCATGTTTTTGATGAAAATTGAGCTACAGACACCGATATTAGTTTTCGTCTATCTCCTATAGAAAAGGATGTTTCCATTTAAAAAGCGTCGAATTTGACCCACCCTGTACTTTAAATTTATTTCTAAACAAGTTCGTGATTGTTTAGTTTTTATTTATTTTTTAAGATGATTCTTAAATGGGTATAAAAATTTTACGTTTTCAAACTTCAAAAAGGCATTTAAAAAAACATATCAAAACATATCGTATTTATTGAATATTTTTGTTGTCATATTCATACACTTTTAATTTTTGTATAGTTCACCTGCGTCTGCTTGCGACGAACTTTATTTTATAATACTTTTCAGATGGAGTAAAATTGATAAGCAATGCCGATCTGGTTAATACTTGGCTTGATGATAAGGACAAGAACTCAAAATTATTTGTATTTCAAAAAATGTGTTCTTTATTAGATATTGATGAACCTTCCAGTCAAATGAGACACCACTTGTGCCTGAAAAAGCCCAATATGTTGGAGCGAAACGTCACATAAAAAAAGTTTCCATCTTTCAACTTATTATAAAACCTCATACCCAAGAAAAGGAAAAAATAATATATGGATATTGTCTATTAAAGAGGTAACTATTAACATCCGAACCCCTCATACCAACAAAAAGAACAGTTACAACGCTAAAAATTAACATATTAGAAAATAATGTACAGAAATATCTTAGGATACTTCATCTACCTGTGATTTGGATACTATAAATTTGGAAGATTCTGTCAGCAGTGATTCTTCTGAATCAGAGTAGTTACGATCTATGCATTTTGTTGTCCTAAAGTAAATTTATAGTATCTTAAGTTTTTTTAAATTAAATATAACATTAATGTTACTTTTTCATTAAAGAAAAACATGTTTATCTTATATTAGACTTATATTGTAGGAATCATGTTCTAATGTTATTTCAATTATTTTTTATCACAGGGATTTATTTAATACTTAACCGCTTTCATACTATAAATTATTATTTCCTTAGATGGAACACAGCTCCAACATTTTTATTATTTATAAGTTTTTTTTCATAAACGTGGGACTAAGAACATCATCATTTAGTACAATGAGAATACTCATCATTTGTGTCAAATAAACCTAGTTTGAATAAATTGCCTACTATAAAAGAGAAGTTTTGCATTTTTGTCCTCTAGAGCCATATGTTCGAAGCACTGTGCGACGGTTCTGTGGCATTTTCTGCAGCTGCTTTTGCCGTATTATACTTTGGGTATATGATTTAAAAAAAGGTAATAGAATTTTACGCAGAATCTAAAAATAAAAAAAAGCTATTGCATTAAAAAACATTGTGTGATATCCGTCACACTTTTTTTGAATGCACCGTATATACTAAAAAATAATTATAAATTGTTTTCTATCTTAATGTATAGCTAACCTTTCTATATCTAACTATCCGACCACCAAGTATAAGTGTTCCGGCTGTGATCAATTCGAACTGTTTTCAAGCAGTAGTCAATCTCGCTTGCAACTGGGGTTTTCTCTTGATCGGGACATTAACTTTTCCTTCTCATCTGCGATTTCATTGAAACAATCTTTCTTAGTACGTGTCGTGAGATTTGCGAATAACAGTTGAATCAGTTTCATTTCTTCTATTTTTTAGCAAGTGTGGAAGATGGCGATGAACGGTCACTGTTAGAAGACTCGCACAGTCATTTTTAAATACTCCAATAAGATCTTATATCGCGCTCTTTGACAATCGCCACTCCACGCATAATCTCGTCGGTCGATATTTGGTCGATATAATCATTCTCGGGCCAAATCACCCAAATTGAACCGATTGTGATGGTCGGATATTCAGCCATCCGGTCTCCCATATCACCGAATATCCGGTATTTGGTATTCGGCCAAACAACTATCCGTTTCATATCTAGTTTATACCATTGTCGAACGCATTGGGTATTATTTTTCCACCGAATTCGTACACACTCTGTCGTTGCTGTCGGTGACAAAATTGCCGATATCATTTTATATTTGAAGAGTAGTTTTAATAGTAGTAGTTTGTAATACCAAATTATACATTATTATTCTTTTTTTTTCAGACGAATGTTGGACGAGGATACGAACAGTTCCTTACTAAGACTGTTCCATTGTTTTCTCCAGTGTTCACCTCAGGCTATCTTGCAACTGGTGTTCTTGTTAAGCTTTATGATGTATCCAGATAAACAGGTCCTAACCATAGGTAAAATAAAAGTGAAATGAAAAACCAACAAAAGAATATTTTTATGCAGGGTGTCCCAATATTCCGTCGACTGAGAACTACTAGGTATTTTTGGAATCAAAATAATTTTATTAGACACAATTTATCTCTACAGGGTGCTACCAATTCGGGATACGAGCATTGGTATCTCGGTAATCGTAATAGATACGAACACGGTTAAATTGGGGCAAAGTTACGCCTTTGAATGTTCACCAAGACGCTATCAAAAAGTTAAAGTTATATTATTATCTTTATTAAAAAATGTCAAGCTAAGTTATTTGGAAAAAACGGATTTTTTCTTAAAAGTAAATTTTATTTTTTCCTGTGGTTATTTTTAGAAAATCAAACTAATTACACAATCTCATAACCACTTTATCAGGGCCGAGATCAAGGCTATCTGATAGTATTTTAAGATTTTCAAATTACCTGATAATTTGTGTGATACATAGGCCAATTTATTTTTTTAAACACGGACCTGCATTTTTAATTTCCGGTTTTGAAAGAACTCGGTCTCGTGAGTACAATGATATGCCACACTTAATATTCTTTTTTATTTCAGGCATTTAAACTGTTTTTTTTATTTAAACTAATTTCAGGTCCGGCTCTGTTTTTTTTTAAATATTGAATCTAGTGATGGGAATACCGCTTCCACGTGAGTCGCGTTACAATAGCGACCGTTCCAGAAAAATACCGCGACAAAATACCGCGATTTTGTAACCGAGGTTCCGACTTCCAAAGTGTCGCGGTCCTCGCTAAACGATTAGATTTCTGCAAATTGTAAGTTTTGGGTTCGTTGAAGTTCTATTAGAGGTACAATTTAAAAATATTTTTACAAGATACAGAGTGTCCCAAATAAATAAAAAACATCAAAGTTGTATTTTTTTAAATGGAACACTCTGTATATTATTACATTTTTAGTTTCTACGATTAAAATAAAGGTAAATTTGATTAAGGTTTGTCACACTTAAACCTTACCGTTTTTGAAATATTTTCAATTTTGTGAAATTGCAGTAAAAATTTTAAGGCTTCATTTCTCCAAGAGTATCAAAGTTTTTAATATTAAATATTTACTGAGGTTTATTTATTGGTCAGTTATTGTGTTGCAATAATAAAAATAATACTACCTCATACAGAGTGTCTAAAAATTTATTTTAAATAATTTCTAGCTTTAAACGGCAATAACTTGTTTAATTTAAATAGAACACCTTCTATATTTTATGAGAATCCGATGCACAATTTAATGGTCTATCAAATTGTATTTAACCACTTTTTACCCAACTCTTCAAGTTTTCGTATAAAATGCATTTTCTTATAATTTAGGCCTCATTTATCAATATACCCATGGAATATTGACATTTTAGATTATTTTGAAAGAGTAAAGATACTAATATTGTCAATATAGTTTAATTAAAAGTAAAAAATAGTTTAAATATTAGTTAAAGAGAACCTAATTAATATGATTCTAGTATTCAAACTAGATTAATTGACTGTTTTTGCGTTGATTAATAACACTACTTAATAATACTTGCTCCGAATACGAAATACTAAAAAACTGAATTTTGAATGGGTATTAGACAGTGTGGTTAAAACTAACACCATAAAATTTTATTTAATTTTTTCACGAATGCTTATTTATAACAACAGAGACGTTCATTTTCATAACTTATTATCATATTTATTTCTGATTCAAATCCACATTTATTTAGAATAATTTATTACCTAACACAATTAAGTATGTAATTATGTATATTATGTGTATATTAAAAGTAAAAAATTAAATTATAGATATTAAACCATAGAAAAAAGGAATTAAGTTATAAATACAAATTTACTATTCAAGAGTATAATATCTGGATATACTATACACTCACAAATTGTCATTTTAATGTACATTTTAAGGCAAACAAATTATCAGAAAAAAAATCAAAATCCGTGCAGTAGGAATTGGCAAACTCCAGCGTTCTGTTAACTGGTGAATTGGCAGCACCACTTGTGCGAGAAAATGTCCTCTTGAAAATATCTTTGTATAATGGCCAGCAAGGTTCCTGGACCTATCGCCAAGGAGCGGGGGCATTACTTGACGTCATTTGTAAAAGTGAAATCAATACACCTCAACATTTACAACAAGGAGTATAAAATGCATTCGGAAGTATAAGAAGAGTATCTGTTGAAAAGGCTACACAATATAATTGAAAAAATTGTGCAATAGGGAGAGTGGTAATCCTTCGAACATGTAGAATATTCGAAACTAGTTTGTAGAAGTTGATTTATTTATAATAACTAAGATTTATATGATGCATATATACGAGATTGAGATTCGTACACTGAGATTTTAAATTTACAATAAAACAAGTTAAAAATAATATCTTAAAATTTCCGACCTGAATATTATTTTATTTGAATCTTTCAACTGGCTCGATTTTCCGTATTCGATGTTACTTAACGCATCAATATTGTTGCGATAAATACAATCAGATTAAATAATTTAAAAATCCAGAGTCGGAAGAATAATTAAATAGTTTTATTGTTGTTAAAGTACCCAAAATAAAAAAAAATATAAAGTCGTTGTATTTAATAGACTGAATTCTTTCAAAACCTAAAATAAAAAATGCAGTTAAGTTGGAAAATAAGTTGGCTTATGTTACAATGTATTTCACAAATTATTATCAACTAATTTGAAAATACTACCAGATAGTCCGTCAGTAGATAAAGCGGCTATGAGAATGTGCAATTAGTTTTTTGATTTTTTAAAAAGTAACGTCAGGAGAAAACGAAATTTATTTTCAAAAAAATCCTTTTTTCTCAAAAAACTCAGCAATCCTTGAAATTTTTGAAACTTTTTTGATAGTATGTTGACGAACATCCCAAGGCTCAACTTTGCCCCAATTTAACCATCTTCGTATCTATTACGGTTTCCGAGATAACAATCGTACCTCGAATTTGTAGCACCCTGTATACAGAAGTGCTTCGTTGGTGCGTGAGAGGGCATCAACTTGAAAAAAATAAACACATTTTTAAGATATTTTAAGAACCTATATTCTGATTTTAATGAGATTTAACGTGCATATGTTTTGCTAAGCGCTGTAACATTTGAGTTTCACAAAAAAAAACAAAAAAAGTACGGGAATGGTGAAAAATACACCCCTACATAAATTTTTAAAGAAATATTTTCCTGTTTGGCCTAATGGGCCTCCTAGTATTTACTACATTTTTCATGTCTTGTAAAAAAACGCCACATCACACACACATTTTTGCGAAAAAAAATTGTTTTTTTTCCAAAGCGGACCAACAAAATATACAGGGAATTCCAATATTTCGTGTACATAGAACAACTACGTATTTTTTAATCAAAATAAGTTAATTGCGCCCAATTCGCATCTAATTAAAGTGCTTCGCTTGTGCCTTAGAGGGCATCAATCAGAAAAACATTCGAACGTTAATTAATTTAAAATGTATGAAGCTTATAGTACAGGATCAGACTACAACTTATATTTATGAATAGGAGAATACACTTTTAACAGGGTATCAATCAAAAAGTTGCCGCAACCCTGTTTAATTATTAATAATAATAACTGATTTTGGAGATGACATTACGTTCATAAAATTTTTTGATCACTTATATGTCAAATTAAAGCTATTTCTATTCTGTGCATATGAGACTGCATGACTCGTTATAACTCAAGTAAGGGGAACACACAATCGAAGAGATATGTAAGGTCGCGCTGATTAACTCCCCGCCTAAACATTCTACATTCTGTGCATGATGTTATAAGGGTACCTATCAAAAAGTTACCGCAAATAGGGGTTGCCACAGTTCAAAGTCGTTCCTAATCTTCTATATATACAGGGTGAGTCTTAAATAAGTGCAAATATTTGCAGGGGTGGTATATTTCGACCTTGTTCGATCTTTGGTGTTCTCCATATTCCTATACGGGTCTGAGTCATGGACCGTCAAAAGCGCTGATAGACACCGTATAAATGCATTTGAGATGTGGTGCTGGAGGAGAATGCTCCGTATCCCATGAACAGCTCGAAGAACGAAGGACCACGTCTACGAATTTTTTTTCGCAAAAAAAGGTGTTGAAAATCGTGCATTTTCTTTTAAATTTCCCTGTATATTTTTCGAAAACTTTTTAGAACTGCCTATTCACCGTAAATTTTGCCACGGTATAATTTTTTAACCTCTGATATTACCATCGTTACGGCACTAAAAGGGATGCAATATTGCCACTTCCTACATCACCTATATTTTTAATTATTCATACGAGAAAATGCCACTAATAAGTAAAAAATTACTGCAAGAGAGAATGAGCCATAGATAAAAGACTTATAATATTAAATAGATAGGCAACATTTCAATTTTATTATACAAGGGCGCCTCTGGTAGTCGGAGGAAGTTATACTAAGGGAAGAGAGGGGTGCGGGGTAGGGGGGTTGTTTTAATCATAGATAAATGCAACAAGTTTAGATTGGAAAGCCCGTAAAAATTTTAGGTCGCGACCGTTATACGCGATCTGGCGCTGCTACAGCGGTCGCTGTTTAGATCGCTAAGAACAACGGCAAACAAAAACAGAAATAATTTTCTCTTGTCAAAGTCAGAATCTTCAAAAACCATCGTGGATCGTGGCATAACGCCGGTTTCCAATGTTTCATAGGTATTTCATACATGTGTTCTTATATAAAATAAAGTTTCTTGTATGCAACACACTGTATTTTATTTATAAAATTAAACGAAAATAATTATAAATTTGAATAAACAATATTTGGCGATATAATTCCGGAAACAGCCGAACCGCTCCGAAATTTTCAAAAGTTTTGGGTCGCGACCGTTGCAAGAATAGCGCCAAATAGTGTTTTGTCCTTATGGGCACTTTCCAATCTAAACTTGTTTCATTTATCTATGGTTTTAATTAATTTAAAATAAATTTAGTCATACATGTAAGAACACTTTGTGTGTTTTTAATTAGGTCGAACATATTATA